CCCGCACCTCTAATGTATTCAGGGGTCGACGGTGCCGCGCCGCTGCCACCGGGGCGGGGCGGGGCGGGGGCCACCTTCGTCAGCGCTCGCACTCACGGCAGCCGCGTGTATGGTATATATCTCTCTTTGGTTTAAAGGCCCGCGCCGCCCGCGCGAGCGTCTCGAACGCGCAGTGTCTGATTTTAATAAAAGATATGCGGATAAAGTTATTCCGACGAGGTTGCGTAATGAGCCCCATCATTTCAGGTTTAGGTGGATACGAATAAGTACAGAAGAGAAAGACCATCCGCCCGAACGTTTCAGCTGATCCGAAACCGAACCCCGTCGTGATAATGGCATCGAGATTGGTTGGCTGCGTGTATTTCCAGTAGCAAACGCCGGTCTTGTGGTTTCTCTGAGCAAGGTGATGCAACATCTCAGCTCTTCGTACTTTGACAACTACTAGTCGCGCGTGCATCACCAGTCTTCGGCTTGTATCCGCATGTCAGCTGGCGCGGGGTCCGACCGCTCCTCTACCGACCCGTGATCATCATATCCGTTCCCCTCCCCACTCCTTTCTTTTCCTCGTTTTCGCTCAGCAGCAGGCCGGGCGACAGGCCGGGATGAGATCCGCGAATACGTAAACAGCAACATCGTGAATTTCAAAGTTTTCCTCGGCATAGCAAAGCAGCCACCCCTCCCCCCATCCCTCCTCGCCCCTGGCCCGGAGGGGAGGACAGCAGCAGCAGCAGCCAGCAGACGCTCCGCTGGCCGAGGAGGCTCGGCCTGAGGCGCCGCTCTCTGAACGGAGCGGCAACGCGGCAGGGTTGCGTATCTTGCGAGCGCGATTGTCTGGGTGGTCAAAGAAGAGTTGTCTGGCTCTGTGCGCCCAGCCTTCCACACATGTATTCTCGCTCCCTTCGGATTTCGCGCGCCTTTGCTCCGCGGCCATCCTCCCGCTCCCCGCTCCCCGCGCAGAGGAGACACTTGCGCGGTCGAGCTCCCGGGTGCGCTCCGCCGTTCCGTTTCTACTATCTTTCGAGTCGAAAAATAGCCGCCCGCTCTATTTAGCCATGAGAACCACACCGACGATGACGCCCCGCGACCTTCGTCCCGCGCAAGCGCCACGGCGAGCCTACACTGTGAAAAATATCCTCGTAAATTTACGACATTTGTTGTAATTTTGATTTACAACATGAGTCGTAAATTTACAACATCCCATTCATGCTCGTCGGTCAATTCTAAGTCGATAGGGAGTGCTTAAAAATTTACTTT